ATCGAAAACGAACCATTTAAATCTCGCCACATTGATAACAAAAATGATAAGGCAAATGCATTTTTAAGAATTTTTGTGAGAATTTTTATATATGAATTTTTTGCTGTATTGAATTCATTTTTAATTACAAAAAGGGTATGAAAAAAAATTCACGAAAAACAACGAATAATCATCGAACTAAAGACTTATCGAAATGTTTTATTTTTATTTGAAATTTGGGTATAAAAATTATAATATTATATTTGGATTCGGATTTTTTGTATTCAAAACTTTTATCTTAAGTTTAGTTTTATGGATGAATTCACAACACTTTTGCCTCTTTGAATAATTCAATCACTTATCAACGCATTTGTTGTCGCTTTATATAAAACATGCTCGTCAGTTTCGTATTTATCAACATTTGCTGCAATACTTTTACTTATTTTATAATTCCTCTTATTTCCAAAATTGATTTAAATTCTGATCTAACCAAATATCACATCAATTCTTCTATATATGTGCTTGTTTTTTTGACTCCTATTTTATCTTCCTAAATACATAGAAATATTATTATAGGATTAAATTCTGAAAATGAATTTTATGTAATAAAATGAAAAAAATAATGTAATAAAAGAAACAATTTGCAGTGGTTTATAGGGTAATTTAGTTGACTGTTATTTATATTATTTATTTTATTTCCTTTTTTATTTATTTACAATATATTTTCTAGAAATAATAATTGTATAGAATGTACTGAATTTAAGATATTCGTAAAATACAAAATGAAAAAAATTTTGATGCAGGTAAACTCGCTTATAATCTTATTTTTAAAATATTAAATTCATTTATAATTCGTTTTCTAAAATTCGATTAATTTTTGTAAATATTTTAAAATAAAATTTTTGTTGCTTTTCCTTAATTTGTTTTATAATTTAAATCGTTTTTTTATTCATTCGTTATTGCAATCAAATTTTATTATTTTCATGCAATTATTCATTTCTTTTTATTAATTTTTTGTTGGAAAACATTTTCTAAAGCATTTTAACTAAATACCTATTTAATCCCATCGTCAATTGCTTCCAAATCTTTTGTCTTAATCCTTTTTTTTTACTTATAAATACGTTGAAAAATATAGTGTTTTTCAAATATCAACGATTAAGAAATGGATAATTTTTTTTTGTGGTAAAAAAACTTTTTTCAAGACTTCAACATAAAATGTTTTGGAAGATTAATAATTTTATTATGACTTTAAAATAGTTATTGCTTTTGATGATTCGATAAAGAAGCAGAATAGCCGAGTCGTTTGTTGCTCAGACTATCGTATATCCTTAAGGAGTTCGAACCCTGCATCCAACAAACCTAATATTGAAAACCTAATGTTGAAAATTCTGTGCCTTGCTGCTAACCCACTTTTTTTTCTATTTCTTTCATATGATTCCTTGGCAAAATTTTTAACAACCAGCGCAGCGAGGTTAACCAGAAACTTAATTATTTTTCATTCACTGCTTGATTTGATTGAAAAATTAAAAATCCGTTTTTAGTTTTTCGCGGATTTTAATTGAGCAATTTTATTTTCAAATCGAAAGAAATCAATTTTTCATTTTTTTCTATTTTATTAGCAAAAATTCGAATGAAATTCGAATTTCTATAAATTACAATGAAATAAAATTCAGTTAAATTTATTGCACTTTCGATAAAACAAACCAATCAGATCCATTCGATTCCATTCGTTCATTATTTCTTATAAAACTTAATACGAAATTTCACTTTTTCACGAAAAATTTAAGTTCAGTTTTTGTTAGCTTACTGTTTTATTTTTTGGTTGAACTGTTTAGATTAAATAGATTAAAATTGAGGAGTGGGATGGCTCAATGAGTTGTTACTTAGTTCGCGGCGCCGATGCTGCGGCTCTACTCCCCGCAGAAGATGTCCAAAAATCCGAGTGGTGTTGGTGACTGATGCTTCTATCGCCGAGGGACTCCTTGGCATATTTATCCAGCGCGACAAGCCAGCGGAGAGTCTAACCAGTAATGGTGAGTGCTCTCAAAAAAAAATAGATTAAAATTAGATTAGTTTCTTCATTTCCTTTCATTAATTACTCATTATTTTCATATTATCATTTATCAACGGTTCCATTAATTTTATAAATCAAATTCATGAGTTATTCACAAAATTGAATTATTCGTGACATATTCTTAACATTTCTGATTGAACCCTTTTCATTTTTTAACTCATTTCCTATCGATTTATTGACTCATTTATATATATATATATATATATATATATAAAATAAACGAGAATTGAAGAGCTCTTGATTTGATTTACATTGACTTAGGATAATTTGTTATTGAGTTTTGTTTCTGTTTCTGAATCAGATTTGAAATGAATGATTAGTGATCGAACGGTTGACTGACTTTCTCACTGGCTAACCAACTAACCGATCTATTGAGTGACTTACTGGTCGATATACGAGATAATTTTTTTATATATGGTTGATAAATCGTAAAATATAAATATATAAAATACATAAAATACATAGCTCGGTCTGACGTACCTTTTACGATTTTTTGTCTTTAAAAATTTTCCGAATTAAAAAATTTTTTTCGAAATTTTTTCTCTTTATTTCACTAAAATATTTTTCTGCCAATAACGTTGAATTAATTTATTTTTTGATTACTTTTTTATTTGGATGAAAAGAAAAAATAATTCATTTCATTAAACGATTGAAAAATGATGAAAATTCACTCAAAAATTTGAGAATATAATGATAATTATAATAAAAAATTTCAATTGAATAAATAGTGCAAACAAAGTATGATTTAAACTCTTCGTAGATTCGTTTTTCTTGATAAGAGTTAGCCTACCATTTAAAATGAAAAGCAAATGCCGAATTAAACCTGCCAATGAAATCGAAAGGCAAACTGTATGATCAGAATCGATCTTTTATCTCTTATCTCAAAATCTTTTATCTCTTCTTCTAGTAAGAAGAAAGTTACGTCAGTTATGTAATATGAATAAAGTACCACCATATATAAATGAAAGAATTTTTTGCGTTATCTTTCATTTCATATCGTCATTTTTCCATTTCACAATTTCCATTTCCTGAATATTTAAACAAAGCTTAAAATAAAAATTTTTAGAGTTATCAATGATTTTGTCCGAAAATAATATGAAAAGAATGATAAAGATGAATTTTCATTGCGCCCTATTTTTTATCGAGAAAGGATCCAGAAAAAGGATCAGGGAAATCTATCTTTATCCAGAATGAATGAAAGAATCATAGTTGGTTCATCTTTATCCAGAAGGAATAAAAAAATCGGTTCATCTCTATTCAAAAGGAATTTTTTTTTAAAGGCTCCTCACCATTACTGGTCAATCTCGCTGCACCGGCCTATCGCATTTGGGTAACATTCCAGGGAGTCCCTTGCGATAGAAATACAGGTGAGTTGCATCACCCAGATTTTTGGACAGGTTTGCTCCTGCGCGGGATCGAACCTCAGCATCGGCGCTCGCAATTGAGCAATAACCCACTGTGCCATTCTATCCACTATTCAGAAGGAATAGGAAAAAAAATTTGTATAACCTTCATATTATTGTAGTGGAAAAGAAAATGGAAAAAATGAGCAACATGAGGATTTGGTTGAGTAGAATGATATAAAATAAAGGAGAAGAAATTAAATTTTTTTTTAATGTCTAATTCTTCTGAGTGATTTAATAGCTCTTAAAAATGATCTATTAGAGAAAATTGAAGATCAAAGGAATTGGATTAATGTAAGAGAATTAAGAGAAAAAACAAAAAAAAAACAACTTGTCCACCCTTTTCTCCGAAAGTGAACAGCTAAGTTAAGCCAAACTTCTAAATTGCAAGCAATTTGCGACTCTCATAACTCTCAGTTATTCATCTGCTTTACTGCTCATTTGAGCGAAACTTTCATATATTAATTTTTTCTCCCTTTTCATTAATCATTCATCCGCTTAAATTTTTTTTTCTTTATTAAAATTTGAGTAAAATCAAATTTGTCTTCTCCAATTATTTATTATTTGAGAAATTTTATAAATAAACAAATAAATTTTGCAGCTTAATGCTTCGTTCTTTGCTACGCTTTATATTCGCCTATTTAGAGTTAAATTAAATATTCACATAGAATACAATAAGACTGTGAAAAGCTTATCGAACGAATAGTGCTGCATACATGCCATCTATGGTTTACATTTGTGGTGAAATGCTCTGATTCTAGTAGTTGGTGCGAAGACATCTCATTTTAGTAGTTAGTGAACTAGCAAAAGAAATCTATCAGAAGATCAACAATTATTGCCATTTACTATCATTTTATTACTGTATTTTCTTGTAATTCAAGTTTGAAATTTCTCTGATCAATTTCTTTTCTAAAAAATTCTGCCTATTTAGAATTAAAATGTATAAACCAATAAAAAATTCTGCATGTATAAAAAATTCTGCATGTATAAAAACTGTATAATAAACAAGTGATAAATAAAGCTTTAAAAAAATTAATATGCTAGTCACTTCGAAGATTTAAAAATTTTCGAAATCTCTGAACAAATGTGAAATGGTTACGAAATAGATTTTTCTATAAATTTCAAATTATCCTTAAAGTGGTTCAAATTATGTGTTGAAATGCAATGGTGTGAATACTAGACTGCTGAAAGAAATGCGATACTGGCGACCCATTTGCGCTTCTACATGATTTCTTGGCCATATTAATAGCAAGTGTGGCCAACCTAATCGGAAATGGTGTGTGCTAACCACTTTTTTATATCTCCTTTAATTAAATCAAAAAAATGAAAATGGGAATATTTGTTTTGTTGTTAATTTCCTTGCTGTGTTAATAATAAGCAAAAAAAGGAAAATGTTATTTTCAGAGAATTGAATCTGCGAAAAATTACTCAGTGATGCCAAACTTTACATCTACTCATATATAATTCATGCAAAACTATGCTAAAATTAACTCATATACGTATATTTCTTCTGTTACTTGTTTACTTATACTAATTTCATTGGTATGAAACTTATACGTTGGCGATCGTTCATCCTATGGATATTGTCTACTGTTTCTGCTATTGCTCATCCTGTCAAATGCTATTGCACGGATGATCACTGCGTACCATATGGAGTTTGCGAAAGTAATGTTTGTTTAGTGGGTATTATAAGGAGTACAAATTCAGTTATTAGAACTTGTGGCTCAGAATTGATCGGATGTAAAAATAACATTGGAAGGTAGCTTGATTTATTTATCTTTCTTATCACTTATTATTTTGAAAGTTCTTTTAGCATTCAGAAAAAAATTTATTTTTATAAATCAATTTACGAAATTATTTACAAAAAACAGCTTCAAAAATTCTTTTTTAAATATATAAATTCCATTCGAATAAAAATTTTTGGCTTTTCATCATTTTTTCATTCTTTTTTAACAAAAATTTATGAAAAATTTTCGAATTTAAAATTTTTCAGTTTTTTCATCGAGCAGATTTCTATTTTACTATTATATTTATATGTAAAAGGTAGATTTATTTGTCCATTAATTTTAAATGGTTCTAGCAAATAATGAAAATTCAAATTTAAATCTTACATTATTCAACAATTATGAACTAAAAACGTTGTAAAAAATATATTTCTGAATTCCTTAGATGAATGTGAACGTTTCGTAGAAAATTTTCTTTTTCTTTAATCTCATTAGAAACTTTTCCATTATTCATATGCACTTCTATACTTCAGTAAGTTTATTTAATTCAAAGAAAAATTCGCTTTAACTTTTAGCTTTAATTTCCAAGAAATTTCATTAATTTAGCCATATCATTTCATGCTTAAGAATATTTTTGTTAAATAAATTGACTGAGATATTTCTATAAAAGTTAAAATCTTAAAATTCTATAAAATCTATAAAATCTTAGAATTTCTTGTCTTGTATTCCAGTAATATCAGTTATCATTATGAAATACATATAAAAATAATTTAAAAAATAATTTTAAAAACATACATATCATATTATGTGTAGATATATGTGAAAAAAGTAAGCCTATTTTTAGAATTATTGAATCGATAGTCAAATTTTTTTTTCTTCTAGAATAACTAAATTAATGAATTTCCTTGGAAATTAAAGCTAAAAGTCAAAAGGAATTTTCCTGGGAACTCACTATTCCTGGCGAGACTCGCTTCACTGGCTTTTCGAACCGCACAAATTTTGTAGGAGAGTAACTGGTGATAGAAAATGAATGACCAGTATCACTTGGATTTTCGGAAAAGATTTAGTCATGCTGGGGAGTAAAAGCCCAGCATTCACACTCCAAAATAATCCGCAACAATCCGCTGGATCACTTCTCTTCATTCTAATAATTGATTGTTCAGCAGAAATTTTACAACTCAGAACAATTCTCGATTTTAAAAGGATTGAATAAAAATATTATTCAACTATGATTAAGCGAATAATTTAAAGAATTTTATAAAATTTACTTTTTATCTTTCATTTATGTTGGATTATTACGTCGCCAATTCTTTTCAATACTGAAGCATTTTTATTTCGAATTATTTATTGAGTTTTTGAATTCAAAATCATCAAAAATGTTAATAAATCGAAGAATTTGTCAAAGAAAAAGCATCAATGGTGCATATCAGATGAGTTCAGCACATGCTAACTGTCATTAATCCACAATCAAACGCAACCTATTTTTAAACTTATCATGAAGCTTATAAGAAAGATTTAAGATTTAGTTTTATATAACTTCTTCGAATAATTCTGGTAGTAATAATTCTGGTAATAATTCTGGTCTAAGAAAGTCATATAAATTTCGGAAAAGTTTACTCAAGTTTGCTATGAGAAATCCAACTCGCATCTCTTGAGATTGTTTTATAATTGCAACCTGGAAAGAGTAAATATAATTGAAATAATATATTTTAAGGTCTCATCATATTTCTTTGCGAATTAAACGTGTAAAATTAGTGAAGTGGGTCGTTAAACAAAGTTACACCCTCCTAAACTATAAAGCTTTTTAAGCGATAAATAGGTATGTATAAGGTTGAAATTTTACTGTGTGATAAAAATTACTATTGATAATACAAAAATATAGAAAGTGTAGAGATTTTATTTCGCAATAAATTTTCAAAAATTTGAAAAATTATAAAAAAATGGGGATGGCTGAAACCGAATTTTCTTTACCTTAATTAATAAATAAATGTAAGTGTATAAATGTATAAATGTAAGTTTTTAAGACGATAACTTAATTTCGGTCTAACTTAATGCGAATTAAGGGAAGTTAAGGGAAACTATGCAAGAACAATTGGCATCTTATCAAGAGTTTCCACGATAGAAACGATTCATTAATCTCATTTGAAATAATACTTACAGATGGTCGAGTTTATGTTCTTGTGATGAACCTTTGTGCAATACATTTGCTTATCTAAGAAGCAATATGCAAAAGCAAAAAGAGCCGATAACAGACGACGACGATTCTCTTATATTTAATCGAGTTGATAGGTGAATATTTCTCTTTGCCACCATTTTTTGAAATATTCACTTAATTAATATCTTTTATTTTAAAATAATTTTAGGAGAATATTTTCTTAATAGAAGTCTCATTATGGTTTTGTCACTTTAAAATTTTAGTAAAATTTGTTTGATGATATTCTGGATTTAATTTAATTTAAGTCCACATTTAACATATTTAAAAACTTTATAGAAGAATTTCTTCATTCTATAAATTACACAAATTGTTCATGATCAATTTTATGTGGACCTAAATTCTGCTTTATAGTATGGAATATGATTCTTTTCACCCAGATCCAGATGCAACATTGTCGACAAGAACGTCTTTATTAACGATATTACTTGTTGGCGTACCTTTAATCGTTGGAACTGCCACTGTAGTCGTTGTTGCTTTTAATTATTATTGTCATCTTTGTTAAATGAATTATTAAAATATATTAAATCTGAAGCCCAGTTTTCAAAAATTTCAATATCAGTCATAATATCAGCCGGTTTTATAATTAAAAATGGTTTTTATTTGCTTTTTACTTTATATTTATATGTATATATATATATGTATATATATATATCAGTCATATATATATACATATATATGTATTCGGATACTAATAGTAAAAAACAGGTAGCAAAGTACAATCAATGTTGGTTTATTTATTTGAAAGCTATTTTAATCTATATTTAATCTATATTTTATCTTTATTTATTGTTGTAGTTTTCGAAAAACAATACATTTTTGGATTTTTTGATTATTAAATTTTATAATAAGATGCCAAAATTTGTTATTGTTCACTTATACATAATAATTGCAGTGAATTTTATAGTAAAATTTGCTGCAAATGCTTCTCCGAGGTTAATAACAGGAAATAAAAACGACAATTTGACTTATTGATAAATTGATTCAAAAATTTGCTTTTCGGAAATATTTCGCTTCTCTTTAATTTACACACTTTATTCACTGAAAAAAAATGAAATGAAATTTTATTTAATTGCCAATTTTAAGATATTCAAAAAAATTTAACATAATTTGCCTCTACTTTATTTTATCATATTAAAATTTTTATATAAATTAACAGAAATTTAGGAAAATCCAACCTTATTTTATATGATTTCAGTGAATATTTGGACAGAAAGGAAAACAAATTTATATTTAAATAAATATTGTCATCATTCTTATTAACTGATTTGATTATCAGTTGAAAAAAGTCTTATTATTAATCATTCTTTACATGCTCATTAATAAATGTGATAAAATTTGATATTGACATGCTTTATTTATGATAAAAAATTATATTTATTAATTGAATTACATATATTATAGAAAAATTTTGCAAGAACTCACTTTTTTTTTTTTATTACCACTTTTATGATTTCTTCTCATATTTTTCTTCTTTTATTTGCGTGTTTAAAATGGAAAATAAAAATTCAAATTTTTTAAACCGAATTTTGTGCACATTTGGAAATTCTTTTAATGATTTTGAATATAATTAGCCGCCGTACTTTATTTTTTTTTTTATTTCGTTTATTTATACGTTTAACTTTATACATCGTTAAAATTATTTATAATAATTTGATGCATTATAATTATTGAGCTATAAAACATGAATATAATGCATTAAATCCTAAATAAATTCAAAAATAAAAGAAAATTTGGTTTTTCGCCACTCAAAAAAAGGTGAAACGTAAAATTATGTTAAACAATATTTAATAATAATAATTTTACCTTAATTTTTAATATTTGATGAGAAAGAAGAAAGTTAGAAGTTTAGGAAAAATTAAGTTTACTTTCCTTATATACTGTGTTAAATGAAATACTTAACTTGTCTTATAAACTGGCATGGCCTGAGCAGATTAAGGTTGGAGAAATAAATGATAACACTATAAAGCAGCAACAAGCACACTTATATCAGCTATCGCATCCAGTTCAAAACTTGATAAAGGTCCCTTAAGTGCGGCCATTTTCCGCAAAAATTTCAGCATTAATTTGCTATCTTTGAGAAGTACCAAATAAACACCAATCACCATTGACATCTGCAAGAAATCTTTTATAAATTGTTGTCTGAAAACTATCATAAACATTTTAGCGCCACCTTTTTGGATATCAGAGAAAAAGAAAATTTTAGGAAAAGTTGAGTAGTGGATATAGAAATTCAATCATTGGCAATTATGTAGAATTTATGTAGAATTATGTAGTCATTTATGTAGAATTTTTATGGTATGATATAATAGAATTTTAATGAAATTTTCAATAATTTTCTATAAAAAATTTTCGTGATTTACCCCCTTTGCCTTAACATTGCCAATAAAAATTAGGCAATTGTCTAAATTATTTTTTTATTGGAGATATGAAATGATTAAAATATATGCACAAAGTCTTTTATAGTGCTTTCTCTTTTTCTTTTCTTGATAAACCATCGAACAAATAATCATATGGAAAACATACTGAAGTATATCCATTGGCAATAAGACATTCAACGTTTTGATCATTCAGTCCATAAATCGTTTTAATTTCTGTCAACTGTGTTTTCCAAATTCTACAAAAAAACGAAGTTTATTAATATTGAAGATGTTTGAAATATTAGTTGAAGATAAGTAAATAAGTAAATCCTCTTAAACATGTAAAATTTTTCGATTCTCAACATTCCTAAAGTTAATTCATTGGTTATTATGTCCATTTTAATTTTCTGTCTTTGGCAGAAGTAAACCTGCTATTATGTCAAAAAATCCGGATGACCGCTGGGAATCCACCTGTAACTCTATCCCCAAGTGACTCTATGGTGAAAGGGTCAGATACATTTGATACGGCGTCCGCGTCTCCCGACGCGCATGATACATGCGATAAGTTTACAATCCGAGCTTAAAGTGATCCCAAGACTGATAAAATGTGCTCGCAAGCCAGGGTAATTACTCGAAACTTATCAAGAGGAACAGTTCTTTGCACGCATGGCGAGGTTTTAGCCGTATCAGAATGCTTATGGACATTGCAAGTCAAGCGATCACTGTCCACACCCTTTCTATCCTGTGGATATCTCTTGCTTGTCGGAGGTCCGTCTTCTTTCCTTCCTTATCATCCTTATTTCGGGTCTCGAGTGATTATTAATCCTGGCTCGGAGCAGAGTTATGGCTATATCACTGTGGTGCTTCGAATAACTCGAAATGGCGTAGCGATTGTCATATCTGACAAGGCCCATTCCTCTTTGATTGAGTGGAAACCGGTAAACGACCGTATGGCCTATGCCCGGGGTAAGTTCTGTAATAACTCGGTCATCAGTGTCTATGTTCCAATTCTGTCGGCAGATGATCGAGAAAAGTTCTATCTTCAAAAGTTCTATCTTCAGAACTTCAACTGCTAAAAAAATCTCTACCGAAACGACATGATCGGGGGAGACTGGAATGCTCGCGTAGGTCATAATGCAGCTGCGATGACCTCAACAATTGGCAAATATATTATCGGAGAGCGGTGTGCCAATAGGGAACGTCTTTTTCATTACGCCGAAGAGCATGAACTTTTTGTTACTTTACTAATACTTGCTTCCGGCCTCACAGATAACGTGGAACTCCCTGGACAACCAACACTTCAACCAGATTGATTGTATCTTAGTCAGTCTCCGTTGAAAGAATTCTGTGTCAGATAATTATGGTGCTGAAACGAGTAATCTTCATGGATCTGACCATATAATGGTCCGAACCAAGGTCCACATAAAATTCTCGTAAGAAACAGCATCCCCCAAGATCTTTCAATTATCTCAAACTAAAAATTTCAAACCGAATTATTAAAGCACCTTAGTGGTATAAATATCAATAGATTTTCTGGAACGGCAAAAGACTACTGGTCTAATATCTCTGAAAATTACTCATCTTTTGTGACATACGACGATGAATGTGCCCTAACCAGCGAAGGTGAAGCTCTGTAATCGAACTGGTAATGTTCATGGAAATTTGACCACTACATGTTTAAGGCATATTTTGCGGGTTCGCTGAAGATAAAATCTCGCATGATCGCATCCATATTCGTTTAAATACCACTTCCATTGGTAGTACCATCACGAAGCGTCGCTTTCGCTGGTTACAGCATATTCTCCATTGTCCACCACAGGAATTGACACATATTTCGTTACTTGCTAAATCGTGTGATTAGTGGCGCCAAAAGCGAGGTGGGACAATTAAGACCTGGACTGATACGGCCAGAAAAGATTTTGAACATATAGATGGGCCAGGTATATGTGGACCATGGAAAAAGTGCCTTCTATTACTGTCGAGTATGGCATCAGAGATCGCGCCGCTTGGAAGTGTCTTATCCTTGTAGCCGTTGGAGCCAGCCTAACCAGTAATGGTACGAGCTATTAGAAGAAGAAGAAGATTGTGCATAGCTTATAAATAAGCTCATCATATAACATAAACCAGAAATTTATATACCTCATGGTAATTGCGTCATGGACATTGTAAGCGTCAAGAGTATCCATGCAAAATTCATTTTTCAAAAAATTAATGAAACTTAATCGATTGCCATTAATAATTAGATATTTACCAATCAGTTGATAAGCCTGCAATCATATACTTTAATTACTGATTATAATTTATTAAAGAATGCAAAATTTCTCAAAATTCACATTAAAAGTAATATAATTAAAGTAATTAATTAAAGTAATATAAAGTAACTAACGTAACGAATATCATATTTCATGAATTTTAATGCGTAGTGTTCAGCACCAGGAATTGCTGTTGGTAGCTTATTACCCACTCGTGAATTCGCAAATATCTTCAAACGTTCATCCCTAAAATCGTTCTGCTTACCATCAAAGGGAAAGTAAATCAAGATACTTGTTGCCTTAAAAAAAATTCTTTCATATTATCAACAGCCAGTAATAAAATTTACGCATCCATTTGAAGTGGTCTTAGTTGATTTTCATAAAACCTTGCAGACTCAATTTTAAAATGGCTCAATTCCATGGATATAATGAATCGCTCTACAAAATGAAGGTCTAAATGTGAATATTATTTTCTAGAACTGGTCTAAACCAAGTTTTTCTCAAGATTTAAAGATCTCAATTGATTTTGAAGCAGCAGTAATTTAAAAAATTCTAGTCTCCTAGGGATCCAAAACATTGGACTCTCGAAAGTATGTTTAATAAAATCCTTGACCACTAAAGAAATTTGAATAGGTCAACCTCTGCAGTGGTTTTGAGCGGAAAGGCTTCAGTTGAATTCGATCTATTAAATGCATGCGATCAGGTGTTATCGGTGGAGTTAGTAAATTAAGAAGTTCACTGTTAGCCTTATCAAAATTCATTGAATAAGATATAGAATCTGAATTTCTTTGCATTCCAATGTGAAAGATCTGTAGAACATATATGTACATGTAGTAAAATAATAAAATAAGAATGGAAAAATAATTAAGCCGAATCACTTTAAAGCGAATTTTAGTGCTTATTGAGTTGCTTATAGAAATTTTAATATTAATATTAATATTAATTAAGAGAAGTTAAATAACATTATTTAAATGTGTTGATATAAAATTTGGATAAAAATTATGTTAAAAGGATGCAATAACCTCGAAATCTGTCTCACAACATACATCTCGCAACCTTCTTGAATCGACTTCTGACTGAGTTCCTTTATCTATCATTTCACATTTTGCTTGAAGTTTCAGGCTATTCTCGTTTTGCGTTGAAAAATACCTCGCACTGGATTCCCATTTAGTGAGTTTATAGCTTTAAAGAAAATATTTTCAGAAGGGATAATAACGAATGTAAAGAATAGACATTTAAAACATATAAAATAAGTCTAAAATTATATAAAACGGTACAAAAATGCATATAAAAATGGATGCATGAATGAATAAAAAAATGGGCATCTGTAAAGTTGAATGCAGGCATTTGCTAGTTATTTAAAAAAAAGGTAAAGGTATAAGGTAAGTTATTTAAAGGTATTTTTTAATAAATTCGGGAACAATGCAGTATATAAATTAACACAGCGAAATAAGGCCGTTCAGCCTTTTAAGAATTTTCATCTACTCAAATTATTAAATGAAAAGAAAAAAATTACAGTGGTATTCGAAATATCGGACAATAAAGCATTTGGTTGGTAAACATATCACAAAATTGCTCAGTATTGTTGTAATAAATCAGAAAACAAAGTTTCACGAAAAATAATTCATGAAAGTTCGGCTGAAAAAATAATTTCTTTTTTCGACCAATACTTCAATTTTATATCAAATATTAATTTTGTTCAACATCTAATACAAAGCAACGATTTTTCAATACAAAATTCTATTTCGGATATAGTATGCCTGTGCTTAAACCTATAATAAGCAATAATTATCGCAAGAATTTCATCATAGAGAGATGGAACGAACACGAGAACGAGACAAAGGGAAGATCGGAGATAGCCTTTCAATGTAAAATTCGATTTTTTATAAGAATATTCAAAAAAAGATATCAGTAATGTTTAAATAATAGCAAATTTTAAAATGATATAATAGTGATCAGTCAGCAATGATTATATTAATTTTTAATAAATAATTTTTAATAAATAAATGAGCTGACAATTTGCTCTCAAAATAAATAAATAAGCAAATTATACCTTCTTGATAAAAGATTTATCAAATCGATCATAGCCAAGGAAGAAATTAAGGCGAAATTTCGATGTGTCTTCTGTCTTCATTGAATAATTCTTTGCTGACATAATTCATTCAGTAATAACATTATAATATGTATGCAGATTATCTAAAAATAAATAATTGATAATTTTAAATAAGAAAAAACAAGATTTTCAAATATAAATTTTATATTATAATGCAAAATTTATCGATTCTTATACCTATCGCAAATCAAAAATTTTCTTTGTGCCAAATTTTTACGAATGAAATAAAATGAACTGAACACATTGCCTTGTAACTTTTATTACAAATTCAAATTTATTGTAATAAGAAATGTAAATGAATCGATTAAGAAAAAAAGCGAACATTTAGAAGCGAAACTTAATTTTAATAAATTTGCATAAAAAATATATTTGAAAAAGTAATATGATGGATTTATAAAAACAATAATTATCATTCGTCGTCATTCAAAGTTTTGAGGTCGCTTATCTTATTTTTTATGGTGGAAATACTCGAGAAAAAAACAAGAAAAATACAAAAATTGACTGAAAAATAATAATTTAAAAGATTCGGAGAATATTCAATAACGAACTTACCTACTTTTATGCAAATATTTTTCCGCTATATCCCAAAATGATTTAAGCGAAATCGCCATTTAAATTGTAAAAATTCGTTATTTAAATCGTAAAAAAATGAGGTAATAGTTAATTAGAAGAGAAAAGACAATTAAACTAATGAAAATTAGATAATTTGTGAAAAATATGAACGATAGAAAAGAGAAATAAATGCCCCCAGCTGATTGTACAACATTATGCTATGAAATATATCGCGAAAAATATATAGTTGAATCTAGCACGTTCCATTCGATTCGTTTTTGCTTATTTTGCTTTAAACTTCCATTATTTTCATATATTTGATTAGTTATCGCAGATCAGATGGATTTAAATTAAATTACGTTTATAATTTGCATTTGCATTTGTTTATAATTTGCATTTTAAAGTAGCTAATATTCAAAGAAAGAAAAAAATTATGAAAATAATCACAAGTTTGACTTATCAAACTTACGAAATACTGAGTGATTTAATGAGAAATCTTAAGCAAGGTCAAGCAAAGTTTAACAAAGTTTCCGAATATCATTAACCAATATTCGAATACCTGATTCGTCAGATATTTAACTATGATTTCAAGAAGGCGCTCCACTGAAGTTTTGCTAATTCCAGATTTATGATTCTGATCTACGAGTGCCTTATTTTACAATGGGTTCCATTTGTATGGAGATGCACAATGAAAAAAAAAAAAGGTATAAAATTAGTTTTTCGTGAACAACGAATTTTGCGTCGATTTGCTATCCTAAAAACATGAATTTTCATAATTTTAAAATAAATCTTTGCTTTATTTACAATACTACCATAAATTATTAATTATAAGCATTAATTATTATTACAGATGAAATGGGATTGTGGCCATTTGGTAAATTTTTCTGATTTATTTCTAAATCACTACATCTAAATAAATCATTACAAAAACAAAATTTTAACGCAACTGATAAATGATAAATAATTGGTTGCTGATAGACAACTGATATCAACTGATAGACGATGGAATAAGAAACAATTCCTTTTAAAATAAATAAGATTTAAAATCAATTAATCTAGAATAACCATCACTGATTCAATAAAAAATTATCATTTTTCCATTTAAAATTTTTATTTCTGAATTTATCTCATCTATATTTACATATGCATGAAAAGCTGACACTTGAATCCTTCTTTTTCTTCTAACAGTTCTCACCATAACTGGTTAGGCTGGCTATAAAAATAAGAATTTCCAAGCTGTGCGGTCTAATGCCATCGTCGACAGTAATAGAAGCCACTTCTTTTTCCATGGTCTAAGTCCATGCATAACTGATCCACCTATACCCTTCAAATCTTTCCTGACCGTGTTAGACCAAGTCTTGATTGGCCCTCCTCGCTTTTGGCATCAGAGGATTTAGCAAGTAACAAAATATGCGGCAGGATTTAGCAAGTAACGAAATATGCGGCAACTCCTATAGTGAACGGTGGAGAAAGTGCCCAAACCAGCGACCTTCTGTATTAACATTATTAATGCACTTGGTATTTGAGTCAACGGTGGAGAAAGTGCCCAAACCAGCGACCTTCTGTATTAACATTATTAATGCACTTGGTATTTGAGTGAAGATGGATAAAATCATATGCGATTTTGTCCGTTGACGGATCCGTAAAATGTATTACATCAGTGATCAAAGACTCATATCTTCTTAATATCTTCCATTCACACGTTTCGCAGTCATATAGCAAGATCTATCGAGTTGCAGCTATATGTATGCAGATTTTTATTTTTATAATTTCGCGACGTCCCATAAAGATTTCGGGAAGGTTTTGGAAAAATATTTCTAGCAGTCATTATCAATTTCATTAATATCGATTGCAATTTCATCCTTTGCTGGCGATTTTGAATTAGAGTGGATTCAAGATATTTAAAGTCGGGAACTTCCTTTACCGATAGTGAATTAATAAAAATGCGTATTTTATCAGCATCTTGTATATAAGACACTTTCTTTTATTCACATTGATTTTGATTTTAAGTCCAATTCTCGCTTCAGTTGTTGATTATTTAATTGCATTTCATTATAATTGTCAGCAAAAAGGACTACATCATCAATGTATTCAAGGTCTATGCTCTGGACTGATTTGCACACCTCTAAGTGCTGACAAGCGATGCCCATTGTCCAGCCTATCGCATAGTTGAATATTGAAGAGGAAAGGACACAACCTTGACAGACACCAATTCTTATATCGAAGGAAAATCAATTCCCCATACCAGGGTACTGACATGGTGTGCTGATAAAATGTCTTAATGAGTCGAATGATCTTCTCTGGAACACCATCACATTCCATCACCCTCCAAAACGCTACTCTATCAATTGAATCAAAGGCAATTGCAAAGTCGATGAAATACCTTTCTTGAGAATTGGGAGCAGAATTGCTTTGCTCCAATCATCTGGTAATATTTTTTTTTTTCCGTAATTATACATTTGTTGAAGGTGTGTTATGAAGGACAGAGTACATTTGTTGAAGGTGCGTTATGAAGGACGATGGATAACATTTGAAGAGTTTAGCCCGAAGGCCATCTTTTCCCGGGATCTTATTGGCTTTAAATATATATATATATATGATTTCTTTTTATAATTTCATGCAAAAATCAGACAATGTGTACATTTTAATTGATTTAATTTATAAATTACTTTAATTTTCTTAATTTTATTCTTAATTTTAAGAATTTTAAAATTTTTAATAAGAAAAAAATTTGAAAAAATTTAAAATAATTTAGCTGAATTGTTACTGAAAAGAAATTTGAACAGTAAGATTAAAATCAGAAATTGAGAAATAATAATAAATCAGGAAAAATTTTCTGAAACGACCTCGTTAATAAGAAATAATAATAATAAGAAAAGTCAGATACTCAAATATATTTGATCTGGGAGTGATCCAACCTACTGGTTAATGGAATTGCTCAGTGGGTTGCTGTTCAATTGGGAGCGTTGTTGCTGAGGTTTCTATTCTCCGCAGTAGTAAACCTGTACAAAAGTCCAGGTGATGCTGGAGGCCCACCTGTATTTCTATTGTCAAGGGACTCCCTGACATATTGCCCAATGTGACAAGCCAGTGGAGCGAGTTTAACCAGTAATGGTGAGGATTCTTTAAAAAGAAAAAAAGACTTCGTCCAAATATCGAACTACATCCTGTTGTAGTTCTCCTGTCTTTCCACAGTATAGAAAATTACGGAATTATCAAGATAGAAATTTTTGAGAAAATTATAAAAATTCTATTTAGAAACTTAACTTGGCTTTCTCTGTCGTTATTTAGCCCGAAAAACTTCAGGAAAAAGAGTGGTTGGAACATGTTGGTGCTGAAAATTTGACAGAAGTTGATGATCATCATGATGGACCAAGCATCACAGGTTATTATCAAGCTACTATATAAGCTACTATATCAGCATAGTTTAAA